TTAAAAATTTTATTTTCAGAGTTTTATTTCCTTCATTATTTAAAATGCTTCAAAATTTTACATATTATGAATTACATTTTATTGAGAAAAAAGTTTATTACAGCATATATATGACTACCGTACATTTTATAATTAAAATTATGTTTTTTAGGTATAGTTTAAAATAGCTGCAAGCGTATCTACTCTGAAAGAATCATTGCTGACAAACATGCTTTATACTTAGACCATCCTTAAGGGATGGTCTAAGTGTTTAAATCAAAATGTTTTCTAAATTTTCTTTTGGATAGAAAAAAAGTAGGAATAATAGCCAAAGTTTATTCAAAATTTTAATTATAAATGATAAAAGTAAGCTAACAAACATTAAAAAAAGTAATTTTTTTTCAGAAGTATTTGCGCTAAATAGTGAGCTTGGTAATTATCTTTAGGCAAATATTTGGTTAGACTTTCAGAAAAAAGCAAAACATTCGGCTTTGTTTAAGTATTCAAGCCTCTCTAAATACAAATAGTAACAGTGTTTTCACTACAGCGCGAGAATCTAACATATTTTTTTCTTTTCTTGGAATAAAAAATGATTAACGCGAGAAGTTCGCGCACTCTACTAATCAATTTCAAAATGCACGAATTTTGGAGAAAATTTAGTCTTTTGTCATTTTGAATAAAATCCGTTTCACTTTTCTTCCTTGATCTTTCATTATTTTGAACATCGGTCCTTGTTATCCAGCTTCCCTATTTACCTGTATTGTTCAGAACCGGTGCGAACAGCAGAACACCCCCCCCTCCCCGAACCACGGAACCCCTTTCAGAACACATTTCTCTGCAACGACGTGTTCACCATAGGTAAGGTTTCTTCATGTAAAACTTTTAAATTTTTTGTGCATGAATGTAAGATGGACAAATACCTTGTTAAGGCGACATCTTCTACCCCATAACAGACAAATGAAAATGAAACAAATGTCGGTAGAAACGGTCAAAAAGAAACAAATACGTATATTTTTCAGCCAAATAAATATAATAGCTGATGAAAAAGTAGATATAGAACATTTTCCATATGATGATGCAGCAAAAATATTCAATTAGAAGATGTTAAAATGTATTATAATTAAAGAAATAGTCTATTCAAATCATGTTTTTTTAACTTTTTGAAATCTCACCCTGCTTTTGAGAAAGGGTGAGAAATTCTCTCCCATTTTTTTTCTTTAATGAAAACACTGTAGTAAGGTTTCAAACTTTCGGCAAACTTAAAAAAATCTTAACTTAATAAAATTTTTAAAAAAAACTATAATTTAAATTACTATTAGGAAGGATATCCCTGTAAAAGGAATTTATAACCATGATTACAGGTTCAGAGTGAACTTTATTTTACACCATATGGTTAATGTAAAACAAATGTTGCTTTAATCGTTAAAATTTTTGCAAATATTAGTAAATAAAATAGCAAATTTGATCTTAAATATACTTTAGTTTTGAAATTAAAATAACAAAATTAAAATGCAAATTAAGAAACATATTGAATAAGTTGTAATATTTTTATAAAATACTTTTATTTTCTTTAAAAAATTTTTGCTAAAATTTAATTTTTTTAGGTAATTTTTCAACTTTTTTTGTAAAAACAGGGAGATTTGTACCTTTTATAAGAGTTTAGAAACTCGTATTAAAATTAAGGAGTCTCCCTTGGAAAATCGAGAGAATCGGTATCTGAGACATACCATCACAAATCACATCAAATTGTTAAATAATGGCACTAGGCATTCATGAAGTACTAAATGAGTTTGAAAAATTAAATTAAAGTGTCAAACTCAATTATACAAGGAGTTATAAAGGAGTAAAGACATGTTGGTCATACAAAAATAAATAAAAATCAACCCTTTAGATAAAAACAATAATTTGGGACAATTAAACTATCTTGAATTAAATATGAGTAGTAGACAT